ATATGTAAAAATCATTTACTGCTATCGCTAAGCCAAAATGACCACAAACAGGGACATGTGTATGTTCAGAGGAAAAATAAATAAACTAAAATGCCTGAAGATTTCTGTGGGTGACTGTTTGTGTTTATGGGGACTAACCGTCCCACATACTGCATCCAACACAGGCAGAGTAATTTGGACAGACAGCCCTGTCTAGTGGTTTCTGAGTGCCCTGGGACAATTCGGGAAACACACCGACAGCGTGTTTGACAGTTTTCATGCTTTGCTTCCGCGTCTATCTGGCATTGCAGCCATATAGTCAGTGACCACATGGTGCGGATCGCTGACATCTGCCAGGATGAGTGGTAGAACCTGAGAACTGATGCCAGACTCTTGGGGTATACTGAGCCCTTTTTCGCTTACTGGAAGAGAAAGGAAGCGAAATAATAAATAATAAAGGGAGATTATCCATGATATAACGCCGAGAGATAACTGGTACACCACGTCGATCTACTGCGCTGTCCTATCTACAGATAGGAGTGAAGTATTTCACCTGTAAGAAGCAGTATATCATGGGTGTTATCTTTTATTTGCATGTAAAATGGTAACTTGTAAAGCTATTGGCTTCCAGCTTGACATTTTGTATTTAAAATTGTGGGTGTCTTTATCTATGTGGACAATTTTCCCTAGTTTTCAACAAGCATTAAGGATCATTGTGACTGAACACTTGTACTTACATGTAAGAATGCTACAGCTTTATCTATCCTAAGGGCATTCAATTACAACAGGTTTAATAATGTTATTAAAAAAAGAGAGTGTCAACAGTAGCTATTTGATGGCCATCTGCCATGACAAAAGCACTCCAGCAGAGATGATGGTACAGCTCAACAACCAGCCTGGACTACCGCCGATGTGCCATGAATAAGCTACCTATTACGATTTCAAATTACCATGTGTGGCCCATTCCAGCTCTGAGGAGAACAAGCCCCATGCTCCATTTGAAGACTTCATTTTTCTCCATCTTTTCCCCCCACGCTCTGTTTTTCACCTTTGCTGTTAAACAGTGGTTCAGTGAAATTGCCTGATGGCCGTCCTTTTCAAACAGAAGGAAAATGGTAGAAATTGAGGGGTTGGAGGAAGGCGGCGGGAGAGATGGGACCAAAGTGTGTTACACATTTCTGAAGTGATAAGATGTGCTCAGAAAGAAAACACTAAATGGGGAAAAGGAAAAAAAAAATGGACTCGTGGGAGAGGATGTGACGGCGGGAGATGAGCTTGTTATGTTATGTCTGTCTCTCATTTGTTGAACCTATCAGGTTTTGCATAATGGCAGACAGTTAAGGGATATCTTCAGGCTAAATAATTCTATTCTTCTGTCCCAGTATGAAAACATATACAACAGCAATCCCTCTCCTTTATAAGCTGGTGGTGTAAAAAGCTTTCACATGCCTGAGGAAAATAAAATAAAATAAAAAACACAATTGGACTTACAGTGCCATCTTTTTTTCTTTAACAATAATAACAAAAAGAAAGAAGGATAAACGTGACATAACTTTAGAAATGGAAATATGAACCGACCAAACATTTTGCTTTAAAACTCATGAGAGCACCACGAGTCCTGTTAACACAAAATTAACGCGGGAAAATACAAAATCTGGAAAAAATGTGAGGATGTGAATCACCACAGGCAAAAGAAATAACATGTACTTAAGCTGGAATGAAGGTGTTTAGAACAATGCCATTACTGTCACAGTAACGTCACCGTAGTTTACAGCTTTTTAAATAAATATATAGCATCTCCATGTACTCTGACTTCCTCCCACAGTCCAAAGACATGCAGTTAGTGGGGATAGGTCCACTGGAAACTCGAAATTGCCCATAAGTGTGAATGTGGGTATGAATGTGAGTGCGAATGGTTGTCTAGTCTATGCGTTAGCCCTGCGACAGACTGACGATCGGTCCAGGGTGTAACCTGTGTCTCGCCTTAAGACAGCTGGCATGGGATCCAGCATCCTCCCAGCTTAGAACAGGAAAGTGAGGGTATTATTCACACAGGCTCACAAACATTGGACAACAACAAAAACTGTAAAAACATTGCCTGGTCTGATGAGTCTGCTGTCACTTTGAATGGTAGGATCAAAATTTGGTATAAATAACATAAAAGAGATTTATCCTGGCTTCTAGTCTAGGCCATAGGTGTCAAACTCTGGCCCGCGGGCCAAATTTGGCCCGCAGCCTAAATACATTTGGCCCACGAAGCCATACCAAATTACTATTAGAGCTGGCCTACTGGTATTATACAGCTTATATATATTGTTTAGTATTAAGCTTTGCTTGTTCCATATTTAGTTTTTTAAGCAAAACTTGTTTGAGTCCATAAGAAAAGATTCATTCTCATATCTGGAGGAAGTTTTTTTTTTTCAATAAATATTAATGTTAGCCCGCGACTTTGTTCCAAATTTGAATTTTGGCCCACTGTGCATTTGAGTTTGACACCACTGGTCTAGGCTGAGGGTGGTGGTTTAATGGTGTGGGAATACTTCTGGCTCATTCTGGTCACTTTAGCACCAATTTGGCAGAATTTAAACACCACAGCCTGCCTACTGTTGGTTACCACATTTATCCCTTTGTGACCACAGTGCCCCTATCTTCTGGTGGCTACATCCAGCAGTATAACACTCAATGTGACAAAGCTCAGAACATAACAAAATGGTACTCAAACAGCCTCCGTAGTCACCAGATCTCAAGCCAACAGAGTACCTTTGAGTTTGGGGGGGGACCCCAGAATACCATCTTGGATGTGCAGCTCTACAGCAACTGTGTAACAGATCCGCAGTAATTGTGTAATACAATTATGCCAAAATCTGAAGACAAAGGGGGTCCAACCTGGTACTATCAATGTGTATCTATTGAAGTAATCGTATTTAACTACTAACTAAACAAAAGAACGCAAGAAAAGGACATGCACATTTGTGTAGCCAGATGTTGTTGCCATATCTCTTGGACTGGGATTCAAGTCACCAAGTTAAATATTCTTTCCTTGAATGTACTGTAGCATCAGATTTTTAGATTCCCACAGTCATGGAGATCCAAATAAATCTCAGACATCATGTTAGTTTAGTAATTGCACTGTGCCATCACTCTACTACCTTGTAAAAGGTAGTAGAGTCATTAGTTGTTAATTAATCAAGGCCAAAACCAGATCGTTCATGAAAAGTTCATTTGCATGACTTTTGTGTCTTATAAGACTACTGTGTCACATTTCATGTTAACAAAATGGGAGTCCCGGGATTTAAAGTAAAACCTTTAAGCCTGCAAAGCCAACAGAGCTTCCCTTTGTATCCAAGTCTGTCAGCTGCCCACAATTATCCAGCTTTGCCACTGACGACCTTTTGGCTTTGCTCTACACGAGAAAAACAAAAACAAAAAGATATGATAGGTGCACTGCTCTTTAAGAAACCACAGCTGGCACGCTAAAGTTGGCTGAGCCTTTGATTGATTCCAATCATATTGCCTTAGTTGGCCCTTTGTGAAGAAAGGGGAATGAAGGGGGAAGTAAATACTACATGATTAGAAAGCCAATAAACCTGACAAAACAGCTTCTGACAAGATGGTCTTTAAGCAACGTATTCACTGTCACCTGAGACGCTGCTTTTTCATGACCAAGTGGAATTATTTGCACAGTTTGCATAATGGCTGTGAATTTGGTTGAATTTTCTTTTTACTCTAGTGTAAACCAGAAACACTTCCAACGCTGTGCAAAGAGATGATGCATAATCCTACACTGACAAATGTGAGAACGGCCACCAAATACTTCCCAGTAACATATTATTATTATTATTATTATTATTATTATTGTGATTTCTTAAATGTGGAATGTCAGCTTGATTTTTTTATAATGCGGCATTAATTACGTGTGCATTCCTACACTGGCACAATCAACCAATCAGTGAGGATTATGTGTCAAATGGAATTCGACCACAAGTAGATAAATACAAACTACCAAAAAAGCATCACAAAATAATTACCAGTAGCCTTGTTTTAATTATTAGTTAATTTATTGGTAGAATTTTGCTGAAACTATCAGCCATATGACATATACGCTGCTATAGAGAATTTATGACAATGGAGAAAAACAGTTTGTTGGATGAGTTTTCACCATAGACAGTATGAAGATAGATACAGCGATCATAACATCACCCATCGGTTAATGAAGTCTTATTATGAAGTTTTTTAGCTGCTATAGTCTTGGCATTTTAAAAACAAATGTGATGACCAAGGGGTGGATTGGGCTACAAAGCACTCTTGTCAATCACAACTGCATAAAATCACCTGTAAAATGTTTATGAGATCAGTTCTGAGAGCAGTTTTCCAATAGATTTCTATTGGATTAGAAGTCTTTTTGGCCCCCATTAGAAGTAGCGCATGTTTAAAGCACTGTTGCATTTGCTTCTCTTTTTAGACCTAGATGCTAGATCTATGTTTTGCACTGTGTATGATTTCCACACAGTTCAAACATGTCAGGTCAACTAGCAATAACTAAAAGGTTTTCACAACAGGTCCACAAAATTCAAAAACCACTCAAGTTCCTCTTCTTGTACAACTATGGATAGTTTTCAGTGATCAGTGGAATGCATTTCTCAAAGGGGCTAGATTTTAATTTTCAGGAAGCAGAAAAAGTTGCAGGTTGTGTTGATGCCAGTGGGTTCATGCCTAAAATGTATGGGCTTTAAGCTGTTTAAGATTGGTTCCTCTAAAATTTCTTTGTTATTATACAAGTCTGCTTTGACTATCTCACTAGGGGACCGATTCACAGCACGCAATCAGATGAATGTTGAAAAAACAAAAAATGACTGCCTGAGAACACTACCTTAAAATAAGAGATGAGACGAACTTCGAACATAAAGCTTTTTATGGACCAGTTTTTATTTTTTATTTTTTCCAAATACACCTTGTGCGTTATTTCATTTAATTACATTTGATTGATTTGCTGTTGCCGAGCAGCAGTACAGATGACTCACCAATCTGCTTTCTGTATTGATCAACCGGTAATTTGGTTGCACTGGCATCTTTCTTCCCCATCCTCCGTCCTCAACCTGACAGAAAATGAGAATAAAAAACATTGAGACAATTTCACAGTTAAGTCTCCACATTACTCACGATTGTTTGCAACTATACTGCAGCTCCACTCCTTCTGTAGCTCGGGATAATTTATGAAATCTGCAGGAAGGATTCAAGTTAATACACAATCACATATAGCGCACAAAGTAGTCAATTTTGATCAGGCAGATGGTTTATCTTTCACATACATCTGCTACACGTAATTAAATTAATTCTCACCACCTACCATGTGTGTTACGCTCTCGGTATGTGCACTTCCTACCCATCTCATTTAGCCTAGCACCATTTTCCTTCACACCATGAGTTCTCTTTGATTACATTGACAGCTCAGAGGTAAGATTATAAAGACAGAGCGCTATGAATAATATAAATAGTATCCTTAGGATGTAATTGTACAAGTGAGTGACTACACTTGGGGTATAGAATAAATATGAACATAAAAGCACTGCACAGCAAGAGTAACAAAGACATGGTCAAAGGAAGAAGACTTATGAATAAGAAAACAAACGTGCTGCAGGGTTTGATTTGATATGATTCTCTCTTCTAGTTGGCTTGTGTTTCAATAAATGAACCTTCTTCAAGTTTAAGAAATATAATAGAACAAGGGGCACTGGTAACAATAACATGCCAGATAATGATTGGACAGTTGGCTGTTGTAGTCAGTAAATTGCACTTGCAGATTACACAGTAAAAGACATCCCTATAAACATATCAAGTCATAATAAGTAAGTCATTTTCCGTTTCACTTGTGTAAAGAGGCGTCCATACAGGAAGTGGCGTGCTGAACAAAAGGCTAAATATCACTCCCATCACTAGAGAATTCCTGAACTATCGTGCGACTCTTTTGGTTCTGTACATCACCTCAATGGACTAAAATAAAGCAAACAAGATGTGAGTGAAGAATAGCTGCCAATCAAGAACTTTAATGAAGAAAAATCCCCATTAACCATTTAGGTATAATCAGCCATTTTTAACAGTCCTTTTATTTTGCAGTGAAATGAAAAAAAATCTAATCAATAAGCAGTTTCATGGTCAGGTGTGTTATGTTATTTCATGACAAATGAAAGTGTTGAATTGGCATTCTGTAGCTGTAGGTCTCAATATGACGTCCAAAAATATTGATCAGAAAACCAGATGTGTCAGCGGAACTAGAAACTTTAGGACAAGGCAAATCAACACAACAACAAAGCAACACTAAAGGGCCAGACATGATGATGTGATGATATGAGATTCCTTTCTTTGGTGGAAAAAGAACCACTTCACAACACCTAACCAAGTCAAGAGCACTCTCATAGAGGTAAGTGTATCATTGTCAGCATCTGCAATCAAGGGACTCATTCATGAATGTAAATGAACTCAAGACCACTGGTGCAACTCAGGAGGAAGAAAGTTCAGATAAACGTGAAAACAGAAAGAAAAATGGCTGTGGATGAGGAAACGTTGGCAGAAGTGATGATATCTGAGATCCACAGGCCAGACATGCAAAGGAAAACACTCAAAGTCGATGATATGAGATTTCTTGCCTTTCGCAATGCTCCAAACCTGGTGGGATAGCATTTTACAGTCCAGCTGGAGAATGTTTCTTTTGTGATGCGTTTGAAGTCAGAGCTTTAAACGGCAGAGTAAGTTACCTGACTTGAATTTTGTCGGCTTAGTCTGTGAAGCAGATTAAGGTACTTAATAAAGACAAAACTAAAAGGCAGAAAGACCCACAAAGAAGCAGAAACTAATGGTGGCTAGGGTAAAGGCTTGCTTCTCAAGACAGGTGACCCTCATGGGTACCACACAAAGGGTTCTCTTTATAATTATGTTTGCTTGTCCCATAATGTTTAGGCCTGAAAAAAACTGAGTCTTGATTTTGATTAATTAATTTTAAACCCAATTTAGTTGATTATAGAAGCTAGTTTAAGTATATCGAGTATTTTAACCATAACCATTCACTGGTTATGGTATTTGGAGATGGCGAGGTTGTTTTTCTGTGTACCTATAATAAAAACAATACTTGAAAGATTTTATGATGTTTAACACAAATAACTAACTAATAAATAAATAAATAAATAAATAAATAAATAATCCAATTAATACAAATGTGTGTCAATTACAAAAAGTACACCACTGGCATATAACTTTAAATGGTATACATTCAAGTGACAAGAACTACACTACAATCAAATTTAATTAATTTAATTGGCTATATAAAGTTGGAATATTACAGATGCCATTAGATGTGTTACTGGGGTTTTATCCTATATAAAAATACCATTATAATGTCTTTGATCTACTATAACTGTTGATTTTTTAAAAATGCCTTATGGCCAAAAGATAATCTAAATAAGAGAAATGAATATGAAGCATCTAAGCCCACGTAATGCTTTTCTTTACAAAACTTAGGACTGCCTGTTTGTTGCATCAATCCAAAACGCGTGTTTCTCCTGCTCTAAATTCCAGACAGACTCTCTCACAACACACTGCATCAATCAATATTGTAGCCCTTTGTTTAAAATAGTGGGAAAAGTAAGAGTGAATCTAGGGACGCGTACGTGTGGTTGCTGATGATACAGAAATGTCCGTCTTGTTCTCTGGGCAAAAGATTTGAGGTGAAAAGATTTACAACTACCCACATTAGACACATAATACCAGCTACCAAATTCTGCTACTCTAACAATAAATGATTATAATTAAAAAAAAAAAAAAAAAAAAAAAAGAGAGAAAGAAAGAAAATGTTCAAGTGTGGTAAAAAGAAACATTTGTATGCAGGTGTGCACATAAGAGGAAGAGTTAGGTGAATAGGAAAAAGTATCTATGTGTATCCAAGAGGAACAAGAGTGGTGGAGAATCTAGAGCTGCAGCTGGGGAATAGAGGAGAGAGACTGAATTAGCATGTTCAAGGAGCGTGGCTGGCTGCCTGTGCTGACTGATACCTTCTCAGGGGAGACTGCAGCTGCCTTGGGAAACCAGAATTTTACCTTACATTAAAAACACTGTTTTCAGCTACATTTCAAACACTCTTAGTGGCAGCATAGACCAAGGATGTATGCACAGCTATTGTTCTCCAGCAGCTGGAAACCAGAGTCAGCAAATAAAAGCAAGTCAGAGAAAGACAAAAGGAGGAGAGGAACCTGTCCAAATGAAAATAAAATGTTAACAGTTGGAGGCTCTCAGAGCTGCTGCTATGCAGTATTATTCATTAGCATCACAATAATATACCTAAATTGGAGTCACTAACGTTTGAACAGATACATTTGAGTATATTTTGCATCTGCATCAGTGGAACATAGCAAAGCAGCATGCTGCTGCTAGTGACAGGTGCATTGTTGGAGTTGATACTATAATACATCCCTGTCCATTTTTTCACCGTATAGTCATAGATGACAAGGCGAATAATACATTCCTGTCATTAACAGTGTTAACTGTAATCTCACTTTACTAGAAACCTGAAGTAAATCTGGATTTTTAAAAATTGCTTTATTTTTTAAAACTAAAGCATTTTACAACAGCCATTTCCCTGAAAGACAGTCTTCAACCCCAGTAGAGTAAAAACTACAAGTCAAGGTTTTACTTGCTATGCACAGGTTAGACGAGTGTCATTCAAGAAAATACTTACATATGAGTAAATATGAACTGAACCAAAAGAACCAAACGGTTGTATTAAGTATCTGTACAAAAGATTTGTCTTTATCTTGCTCACATTGCCCTCATAATGTTTAAATAAGTATACCAGCCTGTCTGTAAATTTAGCATTTAAGATGATTCACAACCATCAGCTTTAGCAGGTGAACGAATTTGTGAAAGAGCCAGAAAATCATTAATGTCAATGTGCTGTAGGATTCATTGAGTAATTATATGGTGATGTCAATCTGGAGAAATTGTTTCCAAGTGCAAACGTACAGCAAATGTGAAGAAAAAGGATTTCTTTAGGGTTTACAGATAAAGGTCTGAAAAAGGAAATATCCAGCTCTCTGGTGACAGGAGAATGGCTAGACTCCAGTGAGCTGATAGGAAGGCAACGTAACTCAAATAGCTACTTATTGCAAGCAATAGATGCAGAAAAGCATCTCCAGAAGGGCAACAGCAGCAGAAGACAGATGATCTGATATCCTCGTGTCGGTGTTGTTCCCACATCATCATAATAAATGTTGTTCCAGGTTCAACATTGCAACAACACCAACACGAGGATATCAGATCGTCCGCAGAGGACCACACCAAGTGCCCCTTGGTGTCAACTAAGAAAGTGAGGCTACAATTTGCTCAGGCTTTGATAGTGGTGGTGAAATGATGTGGAGGATATTTTCTTGGCACACTTTGGGTGCCTTAATACCAACTGAGCCTCAATTAAACACCACAAACTTTCCTGAGTTGTTCCTGCTGTCCGTTCCTTTATGACTACAGTGCACCAGTCTTCTGATGGCTGCTTCCAGCAGAATAACACACCATGTCACAAAGCTCACATCATCTCAAACTGGTTCCTTGAATATAATAATGACTTCACTGTGCTCCAATTATCTCAATTCCAAAAAGTGCCTTTGCAATGTGGTGGAACAGGAAGATGACAAAACCTCTGAGGAATGTTTTCAGCAACTTGTTGAATCTATGCTTCAGATGATTTAGGCAACTCTGAAGGCAAAAGAAAAACCTCATACTAGCAAGGCATACCTGAGTATAGCATTGCATATTAAGCTCTAGTTGCTCCAGTTTACCCAGATTAGTCTGAAAAATTATGTATTCTCGGTAAACTTCAAAATAACATCTTTTCTTTGTACCATTCATGCTGGTGCCACAGTCTGACTCCCAAGCACATGAACAAAGCAAAGTCAGAAGAACAACTTCCCAATCTGGAAAATGTGACAATTCTAAATGCACGTGAATGCACAAGTAGTGTTAGCAAAGGGTCATGCTAAATAGGGCCCCAGTGCCTCACAAAAACAAATAAATAAATGTTGATAAAATTCAGCACTTCAAAGTTAAATATTTTCACAGATCAGCAGCTATTTTCTAAGCTGTATGTGTTTGGAAAGAAATCGTTGAAAGTCTTTACCACCAGTATCCATTCAGACAAAGCAAAACCATGATTATTTAGTCTGAATGTTTTTATGTTTGCTGGAACTGATAGGTCAGCTTGTTTCTTCAGTTTATTCTCCCCTCACTGACATCAACAGCGTAAACAAAAGTAAGGTCAAATGTAAAAAGGCAGATTTATGATATGCTTGCGCAACAATGCTTGATGCTTGTTGACATTTATTATATCCTTCGATTTCTCAACAACGTCAAAATCACCAGTAAGTCTTGACTATTAACAGAACACCCATTTAATGTTTCTGAAAGCCCTTTAATGTGTGTGCAAAGACTCCAAAACACCGCAGTAAGTAGAGACGTGCAAGAAGCAATGTTCATTCATTGCACTGACGGCGATACTTACACTGTGAACGCGTCGACGAGAAGAAGTTTACGATATGCACGGCTGCTTTACGTGAACCCGCAGGACGACCGATTTCACCAATTTTATTTATTGGACTTTGATCTAAATTTCTCCGAAATGCCAACACATCACTTCTTCCGCGGACAGTTCCTGTTTTGCTCGGCAACGTCGATGACAGGCAGCCTTTTCATCCAATGAAACAAGAGTATCTTTCGTTTTGACCAATAGCGGGGCGCCGGGTGGGACGCTAAGACAAAAACACTGGAGCAGCATGTGACGGGTTGATAGTCGGACACTCCCAAGCGGATCCTTTTCTCCTCAAAACTTTTTAACCAGGGTCACCAAAATGGTATTTATTTCTTCAGTGTTTCAGAAAAAAAACAGTTTTAGATGTTGCTGCTATGCACAAAACACAAAAATAGCCCATCAGGCATATGACTTTATACCAGTGCTACATCATTATGGACTAAACTGTCAATAATATCAGGTAGCAAAAACTACGAGAACTATTTGCTAATTAAAACATGAGTAATAATGTACAAATATAACGATTTTTTAAATGTTTTACATTAAATGAAGAAGGAGCAGATTTTTATGATACTCCCAAAGAGATTTATCTCTCCTTCTGGGACAGAACTGGGGAGCTTTTGCCTGTTAGACAAGTGTGTAAGCCACTACACTGGAGCCACTGAGTGTAAAATACTCAGATTATTACATACAAGAAATGCGGACAACTTCACAATATTGTTTCTTTGACTTTAAAACCAAAAAGGTCACTGATAATGCTCTAATCAGTTTTGATAGGACGTACACTGAGAAATGGGAGCCAGGGTTCAGAATCTTCCATCACTGCAAAATAAGATGATCACACAGACCTGTCTGCACATCTAATGCAAGGATGTGTTCACCCTTGGTTCTCCCAAACAGTTAAATGTTATTTAAAGTAACAAAGACATGTGCTGTGTTAATTAAATAGTCATGTTCATTTAATTTGTTGTCCTTAAGTTATTCTTGCAGAATATTACCAATGCCATTGTGATCATTGTGGAAAACAATAGCTCTGTTCTGTCACAATTAAAGGAAGCAACAGCCAACCTCATCAAAGATGAGGCAATCTTACTCCACCATGTTCATTTCTCTTTTATCAGTCTTTGTTTTTAACAGTTTTTCCTTGTTTACTGTGTAGAGTTTTATTCCCCCCTAATTGCATTCAGCCTCATTGCTGCCTGGGGCTTAGTGCAGATTATGGGTAGACTTGCCACCGCTTGTAACTTATTGAAGTTTAAAATGATTTTCTGCTCTCCCATGGGCATGCCATTTGCATGCAGCACAGCAGTAACTAATAGATGTAATCTGTCTATAATGTGTCTGTATTACGCTTTACTTCACATGAAGCTGCCATTCATAGGGAGCACTTAAACACTGCCCCTTGATTGAGAAACAATCGTTTGAGTGGCATTTGTCAGTGATGGTATTTTCTTTTTATGAGGAGAAATATTGCTGAGGAAACAGGATATTTTCCATGTATGTTCATGGAAAATGCTTTTCTAAAAATAAAACTGAAGTTATGTGAACTATCTAAGGCAAGTACTTTGATTTCAGACCATATGCTGTAAATACATAAAGTCACGCATATTTGCCAAAAATGTTAGACCTGTTAACAAATAGCCTCAATAAGAAGCCTGAAACTATTGTCTTAATATGGCCATCAAAAGCAGCATGAGTGCAGTTAATGCAGAGCTCAAATGTTCTCTTGTTATTCTAAATGTGTGTGATTAATTTCTCCCGTTGAGTGAAACAAACCAACGTGCTGTGCCTGTCACTCTGATAGATATGGAAAGCATTAGCATCTACTGCTGCAGAGAAGGAAAACTAGGTAGGATGGATTTGCCTGATGAACAGCTTCAGCGTGTGGCCTGTACACGGAAATGTATGGATAACTCTTGAAAGGAGATAAGAGGATTTCCCTCAGGATCTGTTACAGAGAGGTGAAATATTTCACCAGTGATTGAAGACTTGTTAAATGAAATTGAGTTTCAGCTGTACAAATGTCTGCAAAGTGACCGCGCTGCAGAGGCGGCATGAAATAGAGTTAAGCCTCGGCCGTTTTCCTAATATGATCATCTGCTTTGTAGTTTGTTTGTTTGCACTTAGATCTATTTATGTGCGCCTGCCTCTGTTTCTCGTTTCTCTTTTTTGCCTCTCGCTGCCTGTCTCTCTTTGAACCTCACTCTTTTACACCCCACCCTCGATTCCTCCCTCTTCATCTCTCCTCCTCTCCGGCAGTTATACGGCCTTTAATTGCCAGACATTAAAAAGAATGCAAGAGAAGAAGAATCCCCTGGGGCTACTGGCAGGCTAAATGGCAGATCTGCTGCCATCGCCTCTTTTACATGCAGCAATGAAGACGTGTCAACATAATCTTAGGCAATTTGCAGTCATCATCAGGGGGACTGATTAATTTCTGACTGTCAGTCGTAAACAGTAGAGTGGTCTGTCTATATTTTAAGGTCTTACTTTAAATGTTTTAAAGCAAATTTAATGGTTAGCAGTCAACAAAAAGGCATTCGTATTGACATGGAAAATAATCCACCTGTAAAATGCTGTTAATTGGAGATATTAGACCTCTTATCAAAAAGGGCTTAGGACCCCTACACACTGTATAATAATAAAAATGTCACACCGTGTGAAGCAGATTCTTTGAATATTAGCCACAATCTCTTTCAGAATGTACACTATCAATTCTGAGGCATGTGAGATTAAGAAATTAATTCCTTGTGAATCTGCAGACACACCAACAATTCCTGTTATTTATCAGTGTCTCTCAGATGTTTAAAAAATGCATTTGGCAACATTTAATGCTGTAATGAGCTTTCCTAGTTTATAGATGTGGGTGGTGGCAGCAGCTACAGTCGTGCTGTCAGAATTTGGTCATATTTTCACTGCAACATGAGACCAATATAATGCTCAGGGTTTTGTTTTATCAGATTAACTCAAGAGGATGCAAAATTGAACTGAAAGAGATTTCCACAAAACAGTGTTTTAATAATTCAATCCAGAAATATTCAGAAACACACGGTGCCCTCTAAAATATGTCACATGAATTCTTATAGATTGAAGTTTAGTGTTCGCCTTTCATTTCCATCTTCAGTCACGTTATTGGTTCGGAGAAGACAAAATTCTTTCCCCTGTTTAATATTCTTATCTCAGTTTTCCCGCAATGTCTGCAGTGTGCGGTGAATTCTCTCCCCTCTCTATCTCTCAGCCACAGAGTTCCCTCTCATTGACGGGAAAACTGTATCAGCACCAATACAGAGCAAAATGAATTTTGGGTTTATGAAATGCAAGGTCTGGTATAAGAAAAAAAAACGAACAGACCTAGAAAGATAAGTTATCGTGAGGTGGATTTAGCTCCGTTTTGCTCCAGTCATTATCCGGTATCGGAGTCTGATGACTGGGAGTTATCCACTTGTGTGAGGAGGGTCTGGGTATGTCGCGACTGGGCACACATGCATGCAAATGAATTCTCATTGTAAACTGTGTCAGTAACAATCAATATAAAATTAACATTTATGACACGTAGCTCATAGCTATGCTAACTAGATAACCCAGCCACATTGCTCTACGAGCCCTTGTTGTCCTTTTGCAACCAGGAAGGGCATTCAGCAAAATATCTTTGCCAAATTAACCTCATGGATCATCAGTAAGATTTCCATAAGGAACTGGATAAGGTACAGAACAAGTTACGCTAACTATATATGCTAAGAACGCTCTCCTTCCAGTTATCAGATGTTTTAGTACAAGCTAGAGTCAATGTTAATCCAATTACCAGTTCATTTTCTTCCTGAACCTGACCCTATCCTGTCACTGGGCCAGAGGCTGAATGAAACATGGAGGGGCTGCAAGTTCATCATCGGCCATTGTTTAAAAATTTCTTAACAAATAAATGAATCAAACAGCAGGCTAAATCCACTATGTACCATGCAAAGCGAGATAGTTGGGAAATCTAGATTGCTCATTAGTAGAAGGGATATGAGCTTTTCATTATACAAAGCAAAAATGGGACCTCCTTTTTCATGAAAGGAGTTTCTTCTTCAGCTTAGAAAGAGGGAAGGTGGTTCTGCATGGATCTGATGGTTGGTCTGGCAGGTGCTCTTTGGTGGTTTCTCCATGGTTTCTATGTATCAGTGTAATATCTGGATTTCAGTAACTCACTTTGACATTGATGTTAACAATTAGCTTTATTCATGAATTCAACAATTTGAATTTTTGTTTTCAATTCAAGTGGTTGTCAAGGGCAACACATGTGACGTAGTGAATGTTATGGTAAACAAATTCTCCTTAGGGTATAGATGAGGCATCAAATATTCACAACAAATGCAGATTGGAGAGCGTTGTGTAATATACAATGCTTGTGTGTGTGTGGTAACTGCCTGCACTGAGTTTTAGCTCTGGTGTTTGTACAGGTGCTGCAGTTGGATCTCTGCGAGGTCTCCCAGTGGTCACACTGCAGACTGGCTGACTCGGCTTGTTTCTTTTCACTGTTTACTCTGGCAAGTCAAGTCAAGGTCCTACTGAGAGCTATTCTTGAGGTACATAATTTTTGTCACTTTGGGTCCACCACCAGCGAAGATGCATAAATACTCTGGTTTTTTCTTTCGTCTTTTTTTTTTTTTTTTTAACAATTCGGTCCAAAAACACACACATCTGGAAACACGGAGTAAATGATTCGCTTAAGAAAATAACTGCAAAAAAAGGAAAAGAAAAACACTTACTCATCCATCCTCACAATCCTACACTGCCTTCTCAATAAAATGTGGTAGACTCTAATACTACCTTGCCTAGTTGTCGTAAGACAGCTGCAGAGTTCTGACATGTTAATTTCAGCCGTGAGTTGACCTCCAGCTAATTATCCTTCAACTCTATAAACACTAGTAGCACCAGTTAACACCAATTAATGGTCACTAATCATTGCCAGATGCTGCACCTTGAGTAATTTGCCTACACTTGCACTTACAATTTCACACATTCATATGATTCTAACTGTCCCACACACTGACAATGAACCACATTTTGTGCGCCACTATTTCTTGCATGCTTACTATTATATATAGACAAATCTACACAGGGATAAAATCCCATTATGATAAAGCTTAAATGTCTCC